ACCAGAGTTGCTACTGCAGCATGAGAAAAACTTGTTCAGTATTATTCTAAAACTAACACAACTGTTATGCTATATACAGCTTTAGATCCTTATAGAAAATTTAATTATTTTGTTAAGATAAAGTTCTCTGAAGATGAGATTAATAATACAAAGGTTTGTATATTATTTTTCTCTTTTATTCTAATTATTACCAAGAACAAGAATCATAAAATTAGATAATCATGCTCAGTGTTGTCCTTTAGACTAATTGGACTTAGCAATTAGACCAATTAGACCAATTGCTGAATCCAATTGGTCAAAGAACAGCACTGATTATGAAAGTTAAATCTATTTTAATTTATATATTTTTTTAATTTACTATTTATAGTTAGATTTGAATTATATTTAAAGTACTTCAGATCCAATTTTATGATATTCAATTTCTTATTGCTATATTTATGCAATTTTTTTTTAGAATGCATGACCTTTATGAAATGAAATATATGCTAACTATTACTAGTAATAACTTCTTGAATGGTGACAATGCTATAAAATCAACTATATAATCAATATTAGATGTAGACTTTGATAATAATGATATAGAGTTGGATGAACTTGAACATTACATCTCAGAAAACCCAATAAGCAAAGAAATTGACATATTGGCATAGTGAAAGATATGATAATAAATACGGTATATAGGGTCTTTCTCTTAAAAATGACTTTATAATACATAGCAATTAGTGATTACTATGTATTATAGTCATTTTCAATGCAAAGACCCCACATATCTTATTAATAAATTAATTTAATATATTTACATAAGCACATCAAATTCAGTATTCTTGTCTTTCTTATATAACTTGTGACTACCTAGCAATTTCCACAACCTCTATTGCTTCTAAATATTCCTTTTTTGCTAATAGAAATATGATTGCTAAAAACAGATGTAATTTGGCATCTAAAACTGTGAGGGTAGTACAATGTCTTTGATAATGGATGCAAGGACTATTGAATGGAAGGATTTAAAGCTATAAGTTTTTTATAAAAAAAAAAGTATATACTATATTACTTATACTTTAATAAAATTTAGTATAAGTTGTTTACTGGTCTATAATATAAGATTCTATTATATTTATCTTTATCTAATCTAATAAGTACTAAATTAAAGTTTGATATATTTTATATACAGTCACACTCCAATATAATCATACTATCAGGAGCTACAAAAAGTGTTCTTATAGAATATATACTTATAATGTGCTTATAATAGAATTTATTTTTATATATTTAATAGTAGTTGGTTTAACAAATAAATATGCTTATAATAGATAATATGCTTACAATGTGCTTATATAGGAGATGCTTATATGGAAGTGCAACTATATTTATTTTTAAATTTTAATTTTATAGCATTCATATAAGATTTTTGCTAACTAAATAGCTCTTTAGGACTAGTTCTGAAGGGCTATTTAGTTAATAAAAATCTTACATATTATCTTTAAGTAAATTTCATATAAAGATATTTGAACCCAAATATATTTGTGAACTTCAAACTGAACTTCGAACTGAACCGAACTTACCTAAATTGTTCAGAATCAAACTTGAACCTAAACATAGTTTTTAAAAAATTCAGATTCATTTGAAAGAGACCCGAGCTCAAATTTATCTAAAAGTTCGGTTCAGTTTGGTTTGTTGCATTACTAACTATAGGATTCACATCACTATTATACCCAAAGATAGTATAAAGATATTTACTAAAATGGCTAAATCTGCAAGAAAAAATAATATATAATTACAAAAATAGAATCAATGAAACTATTAATAAGGATATCTTGCCAATATGAAAGCCCGCCACAATCCTAATGACAATTTCTATATTTAGAAAGGCTATTTAGAAAAAAATTTATATAGTCATATATGAAGATTAGTATGCAAAGCTACTTTACTAGCAACTAAACAAAAAAATAAAGAAATAACTATCTTATTTCAAAACTATATCCAAAGAAAATCCAATTGAGATATGCATGAAAAATCTACAATAAACTATACTCAGGATTTTCAAAATATTCAAATAGATTGTGATACTAATAGTGAAATAGAGCTAATAATCAATCAGAAGAGAAAGACAAAATAGAAGAAGAGGAGAACAAAATAGAACAAAACAAAGAAACAAATAACATAAACCTTCAAAGTATAAAAAATCTAAATAAAGTCATTAATAAAAATCGACCACCTAAGCGATAGTATCTAAGTGTGTTGAAAAAGATCAGAGATCTCAAGGTGGATCTAAAATCTAAAACTTTTACAAATGTCACATTTGTAAGAAAACAGAACATAATGCTGCTTTTCACAAAAGTGAAGAAAAAAATGAAAAATGCTGAAGTATGCAATGATTAATGCATTCATAACTGTCACATTTTTGATATGTATATATAAATGTACATACAGTACATACCTATAGTACTTACGTACTTACTGCACAAGAAATTAAATAAAATTATATTATATAGATACTATATGAATTTCTACTCAGTAATACAAATTTTAATTATCTCTATCTATAACTATCAAAAAATACTATATGAGTGCTGCCAAAGAAAAAAGATTGTTTAGACTTTTGAGTATATTTAATTTAATATTCTGAATGGCCTTTTTTTCTTGACAGCACTCATTAATATATGCTATATAAATTTACATATGTATATATATCAAATGTTTGCTATTACAAGAGTTGCACATATTAACATTTTAAAAAATTTTTGTTCTGTGATATATAAGTATATTGTATCCTATATGCAAGATTTAAGCATTTCATAGAGGTGTGAAATCTAGATTTACTTTTATTTATAAATTAAATAGAATTATTTTATAGTTTATATAATTTAAATAATAGATAAAGTTTTTAATTTAAAATTTAATTAATTTGATATTTTAATAAAATAAATTAAAATTTATTTTAATAAATGAGAATTGATAATTTTTACTAAAAGTAAAGTTTACCTGAATGCTATATTTAAAACATACTAGCTAACACATCTTGAAGTACTAAGTAAAAAGCTCAGAACCACTTAAAACCTTATGCTAACTAAAATTGAGATCCTAATTTCTAAGCCTAAGCTTTGTCTAAAATTGCATCCTAACTCTAAAAACATAAGGGTGGTGATTTCCCTCTGGTTAAATACAGTTATTTGTTTAATAAATTTATAAAAAATAAAAAATATATTTTTATATAAACTCTTACACAATCCAATATGTAATTTTAACTAATACAAATTTAATTTGAAACAATATGTGCATAATTATGCTGTTATATATGATACTTTTTGATCAATAATCTAAATTTTACTATATTTTATTTATTATAAATTGTCATGGCTGATGCTGAATATTATGTGAAAATTCGGGCCAGAAATTGCAAATCGCATGTTGATCAAGCGAACGTCTCTTTGTCAAAAATTGTTAATTTCTTAAAAAACTTCATAAAAAAACACACTTTGTATACTAACAAAAAGTTTTCCTTGAGCGATTTTACTGTATAACCTTCAAAGCTCTAACGTTAATATAGGCGATAACCCTAACACAAACGAACTTGAAGAACTTTGTTGTTGGTTAGGGTTTGTTTTGATTTTTCCCTGATCAACATGCGATCTGCAATTTTTGGCCCGAATTTTCACGTGATATTCAACATCAGTATCAGCCGTGACATAAATTAATAACACCGATTATTTCCTATTTTCTTAAAGTTAGCCCTAAGATTTAGAGCTGGATAAAATAAAACATCGGGAAATATTTGCTAGTAATAATAGTGTTAATAAACTACTTACATATGTACAATATTTTATTAAAGTGAAAAAACCTCAACACTCTAACAATAAATATTTAGATAGGTTTATATTACATAAATAAAATTAATCCATAGACAAACGCTACTAAAAAAAAAAAACAAGATTTTAGGCATTGAATTTTCAAGGCTGATTTATTTACTTCGAAGTTCCAAAAGTCGGAAATCTAGTTTTCTTTAATAGTACTTGAATACAAACAAAAGGTTATCACTTTGCTTATTGCTTTTGTTCATTTTTAAATAAGCCGCATGCTGTGCTTAATAGCCACATGCAAAATATTTTGATTTGCTAACATGGCTCAGTCTTTTCTAAAGTCTTAGAGGGCTTGATCTTCGCCGAATTTTGACTTTCCCCGGGGTTCAATTTACCAGAGGTTTCGCCAGAGTTTCGCCAGAATTTCGCAGTTTCGCCAGGTTTTGTGTTTCGCCGGGTTTACCTTCATCTTTCACTATTTGCCAAAAATAGTTTCGCCTGCCAACACTAAACCTAAACATATTCATGTTTACTATTAGGCTTATTAATTTACTCGAAATCACAACTAACTTTCTTAAGTAACCAGTTTAGGTTTCAACAAAGAATTTAAATCAAATTTCACCATTATATTAAAATTAAAAAAATCTTCATTAACTTCATCTGATATCGAAACCTGTCTGGCCAAATTGACAAGAAAAAAACTCCCAACGCATGGGTAGGCGCACAACTTGTTATTAATAACAGTTAACAGAACTAGAAATTACTAAACTGACTAATCTAAATTGAGCACGTCTAACTAATCACTTACATGAACTTCACTGTCCTTAAGAATTGTCTATTAAACCCAAAATATAATACGTTTACATTTAACACCTCATTATATAACACGCTTTATTTTATAAAATTTGTTTGATATAAGGATTAGGATTAGGATTGGATCAAATTTAGAACAAAGGTAGTTATATAGTAAAATCTTGCAACAAGTTTCTTTTTTTAGAACATTACAATTAGTGTCGGCATTCTATCATTGTATTATAAATTTTACTTGTTGTTCCGTTGTTCTATTGAAATTTTATACTGAATTATATTAAATTATATATATAGCTTTCTAAATAACATATTGTTTAATTTAAACTAAAAAATTCTTTATATGCAAAAGGTCTACTTATGAATATTGGCCAACCCTAAATACAATATTGTCAATTACATTGTTATTAGTTGTTTGTTTTTTTTCCCTTTGCACACTTCCGTTTTCATATATAAGTATACATTACTTCTTTGAGAATCAGGAATGAGATCTAAATGGTCATATACATTTTCGCCAAGTTCTTCAATTAATTTTTTTAATAAAATTTGTATGATATTAAAAGGCACTTCGCCCAATGGCATTCTTTCTTTGACTTTATGTTCCCATTCAGAAGGTGGTGTAGTAAGTAAAAAATTATTGAGATCTCTCAACAATTTATTGGGACGAAGTTTACCAGATTTTATATTATTCTGTACAAATTTTGATAAGTGCTGTAAATACTTCATTATGAATTCGATGAATTTTATAGTGGTGGTAGGATCATCCATTTCCCGCAATTTTGCAAATGATGCATTAAGGACGGATAGTAAAGCACTAAGTATTAAATATTAATATTATTTTTAATAAGATATATGACAAATTACTGTAATTCAATATAATTTTAAGTAAAATAATTTTACCCGTAAATTAAATTACGATTACTATTTAAAAGTACTATATTTATGGAATTTCTGAGCGCCTTTAATAAATGTTGTCCTGTTCCTTGCTTCTGAAGATTTGAATTCGACATGTGAAATGTTAATTCTGATAGTAATCCTTCAAGTAAATCTTGAGAAACAATTAACGCTAGTTTTTTATTCGAAAACAATTGGTTTAGCGTGTTTATTAAATTCTTGCACAATTGAATACTTGTTCGTGATTGTAAATTAAGTTGCGTGTATGACATCCTTATTTTATTAGTTAGGACATTAACAAGTTCAAGTACGTATGAAATATCGAATTCAGGAGACATTTTCAACTGTTTATTCAACTTTTCCAATGTCATAATGCATTGTTGATGTTCAGAGTTCATAATTTTAGATATGTCTACCTTCACCAAGGATAATGAGTCACGTCCAGAAGTACCTTGGTTGGTTGGTGATATTCCAGAAGAATTTGCCGTCGTTGGTCTCTTATTGTTAGGAATAGAATATTCTATATTTATAGATTTCTTCTTCTTGTCAGGATGCATTGCAAGAGATCCAATTGGTTTAGGTAATATTGATAGTTCACGATTTTTTTTATCTTTGAAATTTGATTTTTGACCCAACTCTTTGATATCTTTTTCTTTAGACAGAGGCTTGGTATTATATGACAAACAAACTGCATCATTTCTTTGTTTTACAGTGCCTTTACGACCTCTGTACTCCTTTAACTTAAAATCATGGTCAGTTACTCTTGTGTCTTCCTTATGTTCTTGTAACTTGAACAATTTATTTTTTTTATCTGCATCTTTGAGTCGATTAGAGAGCCAAACTTGTAAATCCTTTTGCAATAGATCATGTCTAGTAATTAAAATTTTCTCAACAGAAGAAATTCCAATAGCAGAAGCAAAACAATTTAAACAATCAATAGCATGTTTGTGGACAATGGAATTTTTTTTATTTTTCAAAATTTCAATAACTGAATCAATGAACGTTGTTGCGTATTTTTTGAAGGGGTCTCCCATGGCAGTTGCAATTTTACCACAAATGTCCAATGATATAATCTGTAGATTCACATTATTATCAGAAAGACGTAACTTGAGAATTCGGGGAAGATCACCTACCGATAAATAAGTTATTGTTTAATGTAAGATTAATTCAAACATGATAAATTGTTATAAATTGTCATAATTGAAATAAATACCCAAGTTTGATCCAATTTGCTTGTTATCATCCACAATTTTAAGAATTTTATTAAGGGCTTTTCTTCTTATCTTCAAATTTATATCAGTGGCTTCCTAAATTAATTTTTAATAAGTAGTTATAACTCTAAAAAAATTGTGAATAAAAAAGGTCGATAATTATTATACTAACTTCCAACAATTTATGAGTAAATTGTGCACTAATATCGGGTTTGGAGAGTTCTCCCATATTATTTTCACTATGTTCCGAGCTCTCTATTTCGGACTGATTTAATATTACAAATTTTAAATCGAAACTAAAAAAAATTATTAGAATAAGAAAGCTATTAATTATCATACTAACAGTTATCATCTTGCAAGTGAACTGTGCACAAAAATCGGCATTCTGGAATTGTTCCACAGTATTATTTCGCTTATTTTCTGAATTTATTATCTCGACCTTATTTAATATCAAAAAAAAGAAATTTAAATGAGACTGAATTACAACAGTAAAGCTATTAAACATTCTACTAACATGTGACATTTTATAAGTAGATTGTGCACCAAAATCAACACCTTGGAATTCTTCCGTAGTGTCGTGTTTCAAATTTGCCGTCTTGGCCTGATTTAAAGTTAAAAAAAATTAAATTATGCCTGGAAAATTGAGAACATTAAATCATTTATTATCAAGACGATGCTAAAATTTAACTGAATTAAACACGGTCAACACTAATTAACAAATCGGATACGTTAGTTTCAGCCAAATTTTAACATCAGCTATTGATATTGATATTATCATACTAACCGCCATCATTTTGCAAGTTGCAAAATTAACACCTGAAAGTTCTTCTTTAATATTACCATTTATGTCATGTTTCGGGCCCTCAGTCTAATTATCATTATTAAAAAAAAAATTAATTAAATCTTACATGTTTAAATACAGTCAGACCTTTTAAATACATTATGACGGGACTATATGCAAAAATTTAGCCAAACATGAATTTAAAGAGATATTGCATTTAGGGAGGCAAAAATCTATAAGTAGTATATTAGTTAGGCACAAGTGAAGACGTGCATTTAGGGGTATGAGGGCTTTTCATAGGGAGCGCATTTACAGTAGGGAGTTGCATTTAGAAGGATCTAACTGTAATTCATGATTCAAACTTTATACACACTAACCAAATTATCAAAGCTTAAATATTTAATGCTTGAATATAAAGTTTTTATATGTTGTACAAGAAATATAAAGTGATTTTCAAGAAAAGTGATACGAGAATTTAGATCTGTTACATGCTCCTCATGAGTGTCAGGTGTTGAAACTGAATTGGTAAAATTTTCCATCGTATCATTCTTATCATGTTCTGAGCTCTCTATCATTTCCTAATTTAATATTTAAAAAAAATTAAATTAAATTAAAACCAGAAAAGTAAGAATATTAAAATCATTAATTGTTACGACTGATGCTGAAACTTTGCAAAGCTAATACTAACCAATAGAAATTATCTGATCGACATAATCAAACGGTAATTTCAGTTTCGCCAAATTTTAGCATCAGTCATAGTAATTATAATACTAACGGCCATCGTATTGCTAGTTTCAAAATCAATACTTAAGAGTTCTTCTATATTGCCATTTATATTATCCTTATTTTTTGCCATTATAAAAAAAATAAATTTTACAAATTTAAAAAAGTTTATTAAAGAAAATAAAATTTTACAAATTTAAATAAATTTATTATTCAAGTTTTACATACATTAACATTATCAAAGTTTAAACGCCTGATGATAGAATATAAAGATTCTATATGTTTTCCAAAAAAGATTATATGCTTTTCAAGAAAAGTAATACGAGAATCCAAAGCGGTCACATCTTTCTCATGAATGTTAGTTGTTGAAGCTGGATTGGTACAACTCGACGAATAAACATTACGACCGTAGAAGTTCATATCGAGAATGCTGTAAGGATTGCAATATTTCAAGTAACGCATGTAAAAAATGAAAAAATTGGAAAACCCTGAAGTACAAGCTTGGGAAGAAACGTTAGATATTATTGTATTACCGATCATGAAAAGATATCGCTTTTAACAAATTTTAAATTGTTATAATTTATCTATCCATATATATTACTTAAGTCGCAAATTGGTAAGAGGACCTTGTTTTTTTGTTTTTAAAAAAGATTTAATTTAAAATTTCAATTCGGGTGATCTAAGAATGCTTTTATAAGGGTTTGCAGAAGATCATGTGGTATTGGTGACCTATAGGGTACACAGTACCTATCACTATTCTGAAAATTAAATTACAGCAGATCAAATACGGTATAAGCCGATTAAAAATAATAAGACTAATCAGCCAATAATATAGGGGTTTAAAAATTTGGGTCACCCATACGATACTGATCTGCGTAATTTAGTCTGACAATCATACCAACTAGAGATGGGCAGCCGCAGCATCATGCCATGCCTGCGTGCAATCATGCATGCGCATGATGCGCACTTAAGTGCTTG